TGAACGGTTACAATGATGCACAAATCAACAGGGCATTGAATTCCGAAACCAAATCAAATAACACGAGCGTTGAAACTGCCCAAGTAATTAAAACGATCAAAATACCGTACATTGCGGGAGTAACTGATATTCTAGCCAGATGTTTGGAAAAACAAAACATCCGAGTCAGATTTGGCACGGTACATAAAATACAGAAATTAATATCTGGTACAAAAGATGTATTACCAAAGCTATCAACAGAAGGTGTGTACAGGATTAACTGCATGTGTGGCAAATGTTATGTTGGGCAAATAGGACGAATGATCAGCACGAGATTAAAAGAACATCAGAGAAATATGAAATTATCACAAATACAGCTGTCAGAAATAGCAGTCCACGCGTGCCAACAAGGACACTCAATTGATTTTTATAATGTTGAAATTCTGAGCAAAACTAGCTACTACTGGCCAAGACTAATTAGAGAATCTATCGAAATTGAAAGAAATAAATATAATTTTAACCGTTCAGATAGCTACCGCCTTAGTGCTGCGTGGAAGCGAATCATCAAATAATAAATTGCTTAAATGCATGCCTATGAAGGGTACGGCTATTTTAATACATACAATGGACAGGAAGGACAAGATCAAAGGGCTCGCATAATGCGCATGCATAATGAACGTTGACTCATTATCCTCCCCCCCCCCCACTTTGCGCAAGAGCGCAGAAGTGTGGTCACCACATCTACGCCTCTATATAATTAGCATCTTTGCCCGTCCTAGGACGGAAGATGTAATATTTGCGAAAAAAATTAGCAGAGTAATAGCAGTGAATCTTGCACGTAAGTATGTCATCAAACACCTAACTGCATTTCACTGTAGCACTTATTGTTGGCAGTGATTCTTGCACAAAACTATGTTATGAAACGCTTCACTTCATGTCACTGTAGCACTGTATATAACTGACCTTCAATTTGTTCAAATTCACGGCTCTGATACTTTATTCTCTTCTGCTTTCAGTCGCTGTGTTTGAAAAAAAATGGAAATCGATACAATTTCTGCAAAATCACCGAGAAATGTCTCCATAAAGAAGGGGCAACTTACATTATAAAATGTCCTTTGCGCCTAAACAAATTCAATTACTTTATGTGCAGTGCTCTGAGATTTACTTATGGTGTGCTGTAGCTCAGCGGAGTAACAAACAATTTAAATAGGAGGCAACGGTGGAAAAACAGCAGAGAAATGTTTACTTTAGCATAATTTACAAGCGTAAAGTTGACCTTGCTTTTGTTTGACGGGACGAAGAAAGAAATGAAGGCAGAAAATGCAGTGTGATGTGGCGTGGAATTAATTGTCTGGTTAGCTCCTTGCGGAATGACGCCAGTCGTTAACGACTATTAATTAGCTTAATGTAATGGGGGGGGGGGGGGGTATGCATGTAACTGTAGCATTGTATTAATGTGAGTTAATGTAGCGCAAAAGGAAGCCATAAAACACTTTGCCAGCATTAGACTGCAGCACTGCAAGTGATTGGCAGTGATTGTTGCACGCAACAATGTGATAAAACACAGCTGACGCAATGCCGCTGTGCCACGATTAAAGGGACACTCAAAGACTTTAGGTGCAGTGCTCTGAGACGTAGTCGTGTTCCGTTTTAGCTCGCCGGAGTTGCAAACAATTATAATTCGAGTCAATGGCCGCAAAGCAGCTGAAAAATGTAGATTTTAGCATAATTTTTTACTTAAGCATAATTTGGAAGCGTAAAGTTGACCTACTTTTTGTTAGACGTGGCGAAGAAGGAAATTAAGCCAGGAAATGCAGTGCGATGTGACGTTACATTAATGTGATATAAAGATGGGTGAATTGGCGTTACAAAAGCAGCAATAGTCGCTACAACTTCCTCAGCTTGAGTAATGAAGCGCAGCGACGCGTGAATATTGATGAGTGGAGGGGCCGCGTGTGGAGTGACGTGACCCGCGGGAGACCACACACACGGACGTGGTTTGGCACGTCACTAAAGGTGACGCGAAGATTACTTTATAACGGTGGCAAAGCGCAAAGCAATCTAAGTTTCCTCTCCACCTTTTCTGCTCGTGGAGTGACGTCGGCCGTTCATGAATATTAATGAGGAGGGGTGGGGGTGACGGCACCTGCTAATGAATATTAATGAGGAGGGCTGCTCTACGTGAGAGTGACGTAACAAGCGTTAAGGACATTCCTGAGTGATTGTAGTAGATTTGAACGAAACAGGTGGACTTCTACACAAATCTGGCTGCCGCCTGATGGAGCTAGTTGTAATTACTGGCGAAACGTCGTACTCAAATTGTAAATGTTGTGGCTTGGGGGACCGTCCATAAATGACGTCACGCACCTAGGGGGGGTCAGACATTTGTGACGATGTGTGACGAGGGGGGGGGGGGTTGAGAAATATGACGTTACATCAAAATGCGCAACTTTAAATAGATATAGACAACACGTTCTACTTAATTAGATATACTTTTTAATAAATGTTTTCTCCTACAACATCAGAATGCAGCGCCACATTAAATACGCACTACAATGACAATAGTTTAAAGCGATTTGAAGAATGTTTTTCAAAATGGAAATATGGTTTGGGGGGGGGCAGAGCTTTGTGACGTCATATTTGAGGGGGGGGTCTGACTTTTTGTGACGTCGCGTGACGAAGGGGTGGGGGTCAAAAATCGTCCAAAATCGTGTGACGTCATTTATGGACGGCCCCTTGGCTCTGCAACACACCGGTGTGCTGTACTAGTGACGAATTGGCCACGTTCTGTTCAAGTGACAACCCTTACTAGTTGGCTGCGTCGGGTGGTGACGGGTTTTAACGACACATTTATATATTTACGCGATTTAACCTAAAAAAAAACCTCTTACGGATGATATTGGTCGCGAAAGCTTACATGTTAAAAGGAGCCAAACAGACTGCTTGAGTGATCACCAATGAAGGCCTGCACGGCACACGAGGGGTGGTGTGCCCAGGATCGCGCCCGCTCGGCCGCTGTTGTCTCCTCGAGGTTGCCTGTTTTGAACCCAGCAAGCTAAAGCGTAAAAACCCGAGTTCGATTCCCGCTCATGCTAAAATCCAGTTGCGAATATCTTTAACCGGTTCCGATTCTACCCGAGGTTGACTGACCCGCCCATACTGCACATCTGTGAAAAAAGAGCACCATAGCTCATCGGATTCCTCCAGTCTCAATAAAGATTCTGAAGCGAGCACCTGCATCAGTATTGAGGAAACAAAGGCGGCCGGGCGTCCACGCCCTTGCTCCTACAGTGTGTATGGCTACAGGACAAGGAGGGGGTGGGCTTATTCATTCTAGATTTGAAGCGTTCGTGACTGCAAGGATTCATACTCTTTGGTTTTATTCGGTAAAGTCACGTAGATAAAATAAAACAAAATAAAAGAAAACAATTAACGTCGTGATTTAATTATTTTATTTTGTTTTATTTTATCTACGTGACTTTACCGAATAAAACCAAAGAGTAGGAGGGGGTGGGGGTCTTTGGCATGGTCTCGTACACAAATACAAACACGCACGCACGCGTGCACTCGCGCGCACCCAAGTCACGCACGGCGAGGCGAGATGATGTAACGCGTGGGGCGTTCACGGCCCCCACGCCAGGTGTTGTCCAGTTGACTCAGGGAGGTGAAGAACACGAGGGGTTCGTACGGCGTCTTAAATTACCTCCTGATTGTTCGCTCGCCAGGTGTGCGCGCGGCGGGGAAGCCCTCGCATTGTTACATTGCTCGGCCGGCTTATAAAATAAATAATAAAATTTCAGCAGATATCAGCCCCCCCCCCATCCCCCTGTGTATTTAACGCGGTATCAATTACACACAGGACCGCGTGTCAAACACACCAGACGTGCGACCGGTTCAAATTTAGTTGTTTTAAATCAATTATTCATTTTAGCTGTTATTATTGAATTTTAGTGTGGTGTATATCTCGTCTGAATGTGTTGTTCATTATGGGGGGGGGGGGGCGGGTGTGACGATATATCAAGAAAAGTAAGTGGGCTTTGTCAGGGCACGCCGCGAGAAGGAAGGGTCGAGACTAACGACGGACTGGCAGCCAATCAAGGCAGTGAACTTGCCTGAGTGCACGCCAGCCACCACAGAGGTTAAGCCATGAAACGACGTGGATTGTTGTGACATCGCAGTACCTTGACAGACGGCGACTGTTTGTCGAATCCTTCATCCACCAGTGGAATTATCATGAAGTTAGTCTGCTAAATTCGCGCACTGTAACAAAAAATGATTATTAGGGATAATGCGTTGAATATGGAGTGTGTGGGTAAATTGTTGCCCCCTTCCTGGTTATAATTACACGCGTTCCATCAACAGCACCTAGACCACTTATGGTACTGAAATGCCATCGTTATCAACATCAGCCATGACCAGTCCGCTGCTAGATGAAGGGCCCTCCTCCGTTCCGTCGCCATCCCACATGCAGATACAATAATCCATCTCGCACCCGCACGCGAGCCGACTTCAACCCGCCATCCACGCTCGATACATTTTCATAATGATCGTTACGTGTATTTATTTCCAGAATCGCGCAAAAGCGCTCGCGTTAGACGCTTTTGGTGGACACGCGCTGCCGCTGGCAATTGAAACGTAAACGGCGCTGAGAACTGGCGTGGTGACTTTCACCGCTGCCTTTGTTTCCAGAAAAGCCTCCTCCTCGTCTCTATTTGCCTCACAGTCAATACAAGAGGAGGTAAGGGCGCCGCCCTGCAATTCATTCTCACGCCGCCACTGCCGTCGGAAGGACCGCCACTCGAGGGGGTTCTAAAGAACCCTCTGGAAGTTATTCCGGCCTATTGCACCACGCTGGCGAGACGTCTCGGAAGAGGTGGGAGTACCCACGCTTGACCCCACCACACGCGACCTGTTGTCGATCGATTGTGGTGTGCCAATATAAGACTGGTGAGGGGAGCGAAGCAGCAATGTTAGATGAAACTAATTCGGTGTGCGGGCTTGAGCAACACATGTCGCAAGAAGGGACGATGGCCGATGGTCAAAAATCACAACTGAGTAGACGCCACAAAATGAAACGCGTCCGAGAGGATCGTGAGAGACGACTTTAGTCGCAGAGCCTGTCCTCCAACAGGGCACTGACCATGGCGGATAATGGCGATGGTAATTTGCAGCTTGCTGGCTATTTACGCACGCGTGCAACGCGTTCAGATTCGTGTTTGTGCGGTTTCTTTAGTTCTTTGCCCTCGTATTTCAATTGCACCGATGTACAGAATCTTCACTGGGGGAATAGATTATCGACGGGGATTCGCGTTACGGTGATGGAAATGCCGTATCGCTAGAGCTTTCTCTCTCTCTGCATCTATTCGGGGGGGGGGTGTCTCTGCGCTATTTTGCACCCTCGCATCACTGCCGACGAATTGAAGAGCATCGCGTAAATCCTGGACGGTGGGGGGAGTAGAGGATGTGCAGGTGGAGGTGATGACATCTCCATACCCCTCTGCTTCCACCCATCCAATCGTTTCCCCCTCCCCCTTCCTACGAGCTTGAAACTATACCACCCGTCCGACCACCAATGGTGTGGGGAGGCGAGGGGAAGAGATAAAGGAGGAGCAGGCGAGTAAGAACGGGTGAAAGGGAGGGAGAGAAAACTACTACGAGTACAGCAGCTGGCCGACAAGCACACAGACAAACCAATCCACCTCACGCACGCACCACGGCTAAACGCGAGACCGCGCTTACCACCATCGACAAAGCAACAATAGCAAACAAAGATAACACAGTGCCACAGTACAGACCGGAGAACACAGTCCAACGGGAACGTTGTTTACTGTCCATATCATCTCCTGCAAGTGGGCGCGTTCCGCGAAGTTGTACACGGGCGGTCTATTCCACTGCAGCTGCAGACGCGTTTTGGCCGCTCGCGCGTGCACGCGAACGCCCGCCCGCGCGCGCGCGCGCGCCCCGATGTCCGTCCGCAACGGAGTCCGCGCGCGCGATCCGCGGGCCCCGCGCGCGTGCCCGTAGGAGCGACGGCCGCGCGGTGGCCCCGAGCGAAACAGAGCCATGCGGCGTGGCTCCGTGAGCGCAGCGCCCGGACCTCTCCACACCGGGTCCCCACTATTTGATGGACGCAGCCGTAACAGCGGAGCAAAATGCCTGTGATGAAGGGACTGCTCGCTCCGCAGAACACCTTTCTGGATACCATCGCTACCCGCTTTGATGGGACACGTAAGTTTTGTTTTCGCGACAGTCTTGTGCAACGTGCCCCCCCACCCCACCTCTCTGCCGGGCCACGCCGGAAACACTCGCGTGCGTGTGTGCATGCGTGTGCCAGCATGTGTCACAGCGTGCGCTATTGTGCGTTCGTCACAGTGGTTGGAGTACTGCCTAGGATTGATGCATAATATAGCGGTGGTACTGGTAACTAAACCTGTTTTTGTGTGCTCCGAAATCGCATCGGCCTTAAATGATGACCTGTTGCGGCGTGAGTGATGCACTTGGAGAAACCAAAGATACCTCGCGTCCTGTTGGCCGCACCACTCCGCTCGTGAGCCCTGCTGATGTTAACAGTTGATCGCTAACAACATTTTCCACAGCAGTATATACGGCTATATTATGTTGGAGATATTTGTATTGTGTGCGTGTCACCTTCGGTTGATCACTGTGTTACGATTCCCGCCACTTGGGTTCGATTCCCGGTCATGCCCAACAACAGTAGCAGCGTTATCTGAACCTGTTCCCTAGGTAGACTCGCCCTAAATGAATAAATGTTATGGAATGTGGACAGCAGCAATGTGGGTAACAGCACTCGCGCCTACGGTGCACAAGGATAAATGGGAAATATTGTGTGTATGTGAATTTGAGTATTACCCGCCGTGACCATAACTGCGTGCGAAGCGCTGAGATAAGCAATCCACAACAACGCCTATGCTGTGCTACCCTTTTCTGCATGCACCGACTTAATAATAGTAGCGGTCCAATTGAGAATATGTTAATCGATTGATTTCAAGGATCGCAACACGTGTTTTTGATTTCTGCACATAGTATGCAAATGATGGCATGATGTTACTATTAATAATCATGGAACGAACAGGAATGCACAAACGACACAGAGCCAACGGGACGGTTCAAAAGGAGACACAAATAAACTGCTGTGTTATTGAATTAAATCGTGGCCCAGAATCGTGCCAAACGTATGCAGTCGCCGGGGAGGAAAGGTGAATGGTAAATTGAGTTAATTTCCTTAGTGTGTGTCTTTCAAATAACAACACGAGACTTACCGAAAGAACCAATAATATGAATCCCTGCAGTCACGAAAGCTTTAAATCAAAATTTTATACGAGACAGGTTTCGTTCTCCCTGATCGTGTCATGGGTGTAATTGTGATGATGTCTGTGCGTAATTAATTTTAACTGGATATGTGCGGCTTGTGGCGGACCCGCAATCTATGTGCAGAAATGCAATTTCGTTTTGTGACAGATTCTGCAATAATCTCCCGAAGCAGCCGGTAAAAGATAAAACCTCATTCACAACAAAGAGAGGGAAAAACAGCTGCTGCATGAGCCGATTGTTATGCACAATAACAATTAATTTCCTTTTCTGATGGTAGTAATCAGGAATGAATGGCGTCTTGAATTACACATTACTTTTTAATGAAGTTTAATGCCCGTGTAATTAGGGAGTTTAAGTGAGCTCAGCACCTTAACGCAACGCTTACCGAACTCTTATTTTTAAGCTCGGGTTTAAAAACGAAGACTGCACCCATTTGTGCGTATATATGTGTAGTACTATATATTAACACATGCGGGGTGGTAGAAGCCCCTTTCACTGCATGGATATTCAACCGAATTGCCCTGGGCTTGGCGAGTGAGCAAGCTATAGGCGTGGATTAGTGCTTCATTCAGCACCAAGGACAGCGACCGCCTGCGTGGCACCAGATGCTGCTGCTATCTTCGATGGGAATCGTTGCTTAGCCGAGGCCATGCAAACGTTTGGCGTGGCAACACGTGCATTTAATTTTCTGTTGAGATCATGGGCGTAAAAAAATATCATGATAGAGGCATCAAATCGTGCCCGTAAATTGCATCATTTCAGATTTTCTGTACGGTTCATTGGTATGTCAAAGTTACTGACAATTATATTTTTAAATCGAATAGTTATCACGAGAACGGAAAATGTGTTGAATCGTGGTGGTGATGGTGAATTTGTAATATACTTGAATCAAATGGTTATGTACCAGACACACACACACATGCGCATAGGCGAGATCCCACTGAAAGTAATGTTTAATGTGGGACCTGTGGGTGCAAAGTTGCAAACAATACTGCAATATTAGAATGAATAACGTATTTGAGAATTTTTCATGCAGTGCTTATTCATTAGTAATGTGTATTTTGAGAAGACATTCACGTCAGTTTCATACATACTGTATGGTATTCATTTTAGAGTTGCAGGGTGCGATTCACATAAAGGGCGGATGTCTGTTGACGCTTGAAGCGGCGTTATTCCCTGTAGCTCCGCCAAGTTATAGTGAGTTAAATTCCTCATTGGGATTCAACTCAGTCTATTATCTATCCCGACTCAATAAAAAAGGCATCGCCTTGTGGGGATTCAACAGCGATCGTCTCATGGAGAGACTGGTCGCCCCCCCCCCCCGCCCCCGCCATGGAAATGTGGAATTTCCTTCACTGGGTTATGGTGCTCAACGGAGATGAACGACAATGCCATAACCGAGGCGCATGATCGGGAATCGAACGGGTGTTCTGGTAGCTGTGGAGCAACGTGTTCTCTGTGTAGGATGTTCCTACACACCTACACAGGTTCGTCACACTACATATGCCAAGTGGAGCCAATTAAAGTAAACAGTAGAAAGTGTAATCTTTAATTATCTCATCTCATTCCACCTGGTGTGGCTGGCATGGAAAATCTACGATGAATAATCCCTCGTATTCGCTCGCAATTTAAAGTATCCTCGTAAACGTGATATACAAATTCAAACTGTATTTTGTACTTAGTTATTTGCATATGCAAATATGTTTCTTTAATTTATTGAGCTTCTGTTTCACATGACAGTGATGTTATTTGAGAAAGTCCATTCGGATGAGAACGCTTTTAGTCATCTACACTACGTCAATAGTGGGCTGAATATGGCTGATATATTGTACACCTATCTCGATGTGAGCTGCTGTTTGTGTGTATTTAGAGCCTTGTGAGTCCTTGGTAAACATGGGAACATAGAAGGCGATTCGACGCTGCCTACAATCAAATCACCCTGAAAGCGCCCAAGTCTGTCAAGTCCTAAGACTTGCTCAACGGAGATGAACTGAGACTTGACAGACAAGCTAAACCTGGTTAATACTTTTACTACCACGGCTTGCTCGGCGTTTTATGAATACGAGTTATGAGACTGAGTGAGCTTGGCGGGCATCCGCTCGCATTAGAGAGTCATTGGTATCATTGCGTTTTGGCAATCACCAGAGGTGCATCTTTCACATCGAGCACCCAGAGCAAATTAATTTTGAATTTGCATTTTTTTAATATATATTAAACCCATGCAGATGAATATGTTTTTGCAAACAACACCACATTGGATCATCCGTCGTTCGTCGGTCAGCAGAATGCCTTTAGTCGCAAATCACATCTCGCGTGTGATTTAACCTACGCAAATGCGTTCTCTAATCCTTATTACGACAGCGGCACTTCAAGCAATACCATCTCAAACAACAACAATTTCCCACAATACAGGCTTACTGTACAATTGCACGAACCTCATTACCATATTGGCTTTGTGCGTGTGTTTTAAGCGTTTAATGTGAAGGCGTGCCAATCCGTGGGAGGTTTACTTGCCTGATGCTGATTAATCTGTGTGCCGTGAAATGCCAGCTGTCATTTAAACAGGAGAACATTTTGGTTTGCTCTCTATTCGCAAACAAAAACATGAATACACCTTTCCCGCACAAGCAAGGTCACGCGTAATGTACGGTCAATGCAAATTATTCGTTTGTTTCCCCCACTTCTATACTCTACTTTGTTATGCAGCTATTTGCATTTTGCACGGCGCCGTTGCAAACGAGCCTCTGCAGCCAAGCACGGCGGGCTCACGTGCGAGAACGTGTGTGAGTGTGCACGGGCTCGTGTACTCGTGTGTGCGTGTGGGGAGCGGTAGTGTAGCCCTTAGCGCGCTGCGCTTCGAACCTGGCGACCAGAGACGATTATCTGGACCGGTCTTCGGCCTCCCCTAGGTCCACTCAGCCTCGAAATGAGTACCCGGTACGGAGTGTAAAAATCAACATTGGAGAGACAAAGGCGGCCTGGGGTGGTGTTAGCCACCCCCCCCCCCCCCCTCTTGCGCAGTACCGTACTTAGCCGAGGACTTGCGCGAACAATCGGTTAAAATGCTACACGGGGTATCTCTGTATTTGTGTGTGCGTGATAGAGCGAGAGCAGGGGCTCTTATGCGCTTGCGTGTGTGTGTGCAGAACCTGTCAGCTCAATTCCCCGTAAATTTCCCCTGGAAAACGCGCCGGCCCTTGTCGAAGCAGCCTCATCAGCGCTGCTGAGACGCGTCACGCTGCGCCGCGTGTAAAGTTGAATCGTCGCCCTCGGCCGTGTTCCCCCCCCAAACAAAAAAAATGAGCGCCCCTGCTACCTCTGTCGCTCTTGCAATGATATCTGCGCCGTGCAGAGTTCGTTAACGGATCGAGATACTTGTGAAAAACATCCTGGGTTCTCCACCCCCCAGCGTTGCTGCCACTTGATGCGTGGGTCAGGGAGCCGTAATTTCATTTCTACGTGACTGCCATAATGCGGCTTGATACACTGTGGGTAACCTTAAAGTTGTGATCAAGATCGTGTTGTTGTTGTTGCATTTAACGCGACTTTGCAGTATAGCATGCGTTTTCCCATTGTAGTCCACACGCCACACATGTAGTGGCTAAATATCCCATTGATAGAGAGGGCGGGGAGGGGGGGCTACGTATTCATCGAGACATTTAGTTTTACATTTTTCTAAGCGGTGCTTCCAGCTTTCTCAATGGGATTCATCTGAATCAATTATCCAGCCCGACTCAATACAATACGTGAAATCCTTTCCAAGAAATTCTTCACAATCCTGAACACGTTGCTCGACTGATTTATTGCGCAACCAAGAACCAATACATATATAGAGTGTCCTAGTCCATCTTGTAAAAAATCTACTTGTAAAAACACTACATTGTTTTAAATTATAA